TATTGCTTCAAGACAGTTTATATAAAAGCAGCTTTCCGATATAGAAACATTTAGGGGAGCTACTGCTCTTTAATGCAATTGCATTCTTTGTCAAGAGCATGAAACGAGGCAGAGTGCTAGAATCAGCACAATATGCTTTGCATAGAGCCAACCAACTTCACAGTCATTTCATGCAACGGCTGCATGTTTTAAAATACACAACTAAAGGTCCTACAACAAGGAACAATTACATTTGTGTGAACAGACCCCCAAGGACAAGATCAATGTCTATAAAACTTCCACTGGTAATCTCTCAGTTTGAACCACAAATGCCTGCAGTGGAAATAAGGTGAATAAGCGGTAAAATACACAGCAGTTTTTGATTCAGTGGGAAAACTGGTTGTTTATTGGTAGGTTATACCTATAGTGTGGAAGTAATCTTTACATTCTAATTTAGAGTCTGAGTTAGTTCGGTGCTTGGGCTCTAAAATGTTACAGCAATGAAAGAAACAAAATACTGAAACATACATCATTACAAAAAATTGACTATATCCAGCATCTCACACAGCTAGATGTGAGCCAAGTTTGAACTGGAAGCCATACAAACATACTAGCATAGCACTGTTTTCAGTCTAGCAAGTCCAAAATCTCAACAGGGATTATTAGTTTGAGCACAGCACTGCACTAAACTGCCTGTATAGCTTTCCAGTATGCCATGGGCTCATATCCCACTGGCTCAGAGCCTGGGCAGGCTGGGTCTGCCTGCAGAAGACTATGCAGGAGCACTCAGTTATTTAGAGTAGAATGAGGAGACACTGAGATACAGAAGCTCCACTTAAACATTTTTCATTCTACTACCATGAGTCTTCATATTAACAAGTCAATCCAAACAGACTTGTAAGCTACAGCTACTTTATTCTGGGTATATGTATATGGTTTGCACTATTTGGTACACTAAACAGGCCATTAAAAGAAAAAAAAAAGTCAAACAAAAAAAACCAAAAGAACTTAATTTTGCACCTTTAAGATACCCAACTAATTTTGCATAGCTTCAGGTCATTAAAACACAGAGAAATATAAACACCTTCTTAAAGTGTCCCAGTCTCTCAAAGAGAAAATGTATTCCATGACAAAAAGTTATGTAACTAAAATCATCCTTCTGAATACGGACTAATAACATGAGGGCAAGAAAGGCAGAGATGCCTTTAGTTGCTTAAGACCAAGCATTATGCATTCAATGTCAGAGCTAAAATACATCCAAACAACATTCAATCTTGTCAGTACAATAAGAATGCTAATCATAAAAATTTAGTGCTTAAGACATAACTGTGTGCTATTTCATGGTATTACTGAATGCAAAGAAACATGTATAAGAGCAAAACCAGATATGTGCATTTCTTGCTTCAACATTCCATAATACATTCAGTGGTACAGAGGATGACTCCACTTCCCATTACTGGTTTCATACTCCCTTCCTAGAGATCCAATGCTGAGAACAAGCAACCAACTAGGTTGAAAAAGACCTTTAAGATCATCAAGTCCAACCATTACCCCAGGACTGCCAAGTCCTCCACTAAACTATATCACTAAGGGCCTAAACTACATGGTTTTTTTTGAACTCTTTGAGGAACACTGATCCCACCACTTTCCTGGGGAGACTGTTTCATTGTCTGACTACCCTTTCAGTGAAGAAATTATTTCCTATATATCCATCTAAACCTCCCCTGCTGCAGCTTCTTAGGTTAGGGTCACAAACCACAGCCAGTTTTTTAAAATAAATAAATAAATAAATGTGTCTATACAACAGTTACGAGAGAGGAAAATTTCAATCTAGTGGAAGGAGCTGGGTAGATAAATCCTAGATATTTGACATTTTCTACAATACAGGAAATTAGCATAATCACTATTTCCTTCCATGTTTCTTATCTGTTGCAAGATCACTGGTCATATGTCAACTCTACATGCCATACCTTAAGCATCTTGTAAATCACAGACCTGTCAGGATGAGATTTTTAACTGCCCAGTTAAGGTAGTTCAGTAGCAGTTAAACATGCCATTTCTTAGCTACTGACTTAAGAGAAGCCCATGAGAACTGAAAACAATGAGCAGCCAGCAGAGAAACGTCAAAGTAGCATTTATTCCTTCCCTCCCAGCATACAGGGACTTTTAAGTTTACCTTTCCAACTCAAGCAGAAATTGCAGTAAAATTCAAAGGAGCACACCCCACCTAAAAAGCACAGCACTGCATTCCAAAAAGAAATGTCTTCAGAGAGCTAGTCTGGCATTCAAATGTTGGACACCATCCCCTGCAAACAATATGTTTTATGTAAGCATAAACCAAAACCATACCCTTTTTCCTACATTCCCACAATCTTGGATTACTTGGGTTACTGGCACAAAATCACAGTTTTCTTCAGCACAGTCAGCCCCATGGGTCAGCTTGATGCTTTGAAATATTATTAGCTATAGTTTCTTAAATTGTAACTGTAACTGCCTTCCACAGATACGTTTGTGAAGTTCCCTAGAATGAAGCCAGGCCATTTTATTCGCCATTGTCTGGTGTTATTTTTCCTTCATTCAGAATGATTTTCTTTTTAATTCGACAATGAAGATAAAGAGACTGCAAATAATTCATATCATTCAATCAGTACCTCTATCCCCATCATAAACTTTAATACACACAAAACCAGCACAATATTTTCTAGGGAAAAAAAAAAAAAAAAAGAACCCCTTTCTGGTGACTGCAGCTAATCTTCAGAAACAGAGCCATAAGGCAGCAATAGACTCACAAATCAGATTTCAGCCTGAGCCAGCTGTTTTTTTTTCTAGTATTATTCCCTTTATGACCATCTGTCCCACCTGTTAATGTGTTTTACCCCTCACATGGCCTCTCCACTACAATGATTTGCCATTCTGGCTGACATACAAGTATCAATGGAAAGGAAACTGGATTAAATCCAACTTTGTGCCACTTAATATTTGGAGAACCTGCTTGACTGCTGGTGTAATGAAATATGCCTTCAGTCTCCTTCAGTTTATGCCCAGTTCACCTACAAACCAAACACTGTTAGAGCCTGTTGACCCTGTATCTATCTTCCTTCTGGACTATCTCAACGAGTGGAAGGAAACAGTGCATTGTGGTTACACAAGAGTGTTCTCTCTGTAAAGCAATTTTTGATCTAGTACACTAGCACACTCTACTGAATGAATCTACTGAGCTCTACCTTGCCTATTTATTAAAGGTGAGGTCATAAAACAACCCTACACTCCATACTTGTGAATTCTCAGGGTTTCAAAACTGATTGTATGCCTGGTTTTGTCAACATTTTCCAAATAAGTTCTGGCTGAACAATCATCCTAAATCTTCCTTCTTGGGCAGAATTGCCAGAGACTCACAATGCAAAAAAATGAGGAAGAGAAAAACTGGGAAGGGCTGAGAATGGGGGAAAAGGAATTAAGTGACATGTTGATACATGATAAAATTCTTTGCTGTTTTCAGTAAGACCAGGATCAAAATAGATCTTATCAAGGAGTCCAACACATTTTCTGCACATTTATTTTCCATATCTGGTTAAAGGCTGTCAACTAAAATGGAATAACTACTTAAGCATAATTCAGGGGACTTCACAGCAGTGACACTGCCCAAAAACATCAGGAAGAACATGACAGTTACAAAAAATATCTTTATAATGTCATCTCATGTACTGCTGACAATAGTCAGCAATAACAGGAAAGGAACTGCTGAAAAAGCACAAGTGAAGTCACCTTTTTCTGGGTACTATTTTTAAACATTGCAAAATGTAGATGAGGCTTTTCATGACTGTAAAGCAAGGAAAGCGACGGGAAAGAGAAAGAAGTAGGCAGATGTGGCAGGGGGGTTGGAACTTGATGATCTTAAGGTCCTTTCCAACCCTAACTATTCTATGATTCTATGTGTGACATAAAGAATAATGGTAAAAGAATTATAAAAGAGAGGCAGGCAAAAAAAAAGGGAATGAGGACAGGAAGCAGAATTAAAAGGAGCACGTAGTAATGAGCTTTACATTTACAACAGAAAATTAAACATTGACATCTGTGTCCATATAGGCTTCAAGTGGAACTCACAATTATTAGCACTGCATTCAGGAAGGAGGCAGAGAAAAAGAGTTACATCCTGAGCTCAGTTCTAAGCATAAGATAAAAATAAAAAAAATGATGGGTTCAGTTTCATGTGAGTTCCTGGCAGCTGCTCAGCATTGCTTATTATCATAGCCCTGTTTGCTTGTTGAGTGCTGATCATGTGCCAGGGTCGTGGTGTGCTTTGGAGTCCTTCTGAGATCCTTAGCTCTGCAACTTTTGAGACCAGATGGAAAAACATACTTTTGGACACCATTCCTAATGCGAAAATTTAAGAAATAATAGTGCAACATAGCCTTTGTTTGGGAAAAACAGTTAATGGAGGAATCAATCTTCATTTCTATTACTTTTGAAGCCGGTAACAGAAGTAAAATAACCTATACCATTTTATTTTTCCTTTTATGACTACTAACCTTTTAAGTACTACCTGAAACTATAACAAAGCTCTTTTTGTAACACTCTTAATTTCTACATTGAAAATATTTTCAGCTATTTACAGAGTTATTTACAGAATTATGACATTCAAGCATGTCAGTAGCTATGAATGCCTGCACAACAATCACTACCATGTTATGTGTGAACAAGGGGTAACAGGTTAAAACTTAAACAGGGGAACTTTAGATTGGATATAAGGAAGAAATTCTTTCCTGTTAGGGTGGTGAGGCACTGGAATGGGTTGCCCAGGGAGGTTGTGAATGCTCTGTCCCTCGCAGCATTCAAGGCTAGGTAGGACGAAGCCTTGGGGGGCACAGTTTAGTGTGAGGTGTCCCTGCCCATGGTAGGGGGGTTGGAACTAGATGATCTTAAAGTCCTTTCCAACCCTAACTATTCTATGATTCTATGTGTACTGACTGGCACCATCTACTGAAATGCTTCAGACACTCATCTTTTAACAAACAACATACCTTGAAAGAGTCAGCCATATGCTTTCCTGTTTCTCCCGAGCATCCTCCAGCTGTGCACTCATTCTGGCAGCCCTGGGAGAAACAAAACCAGTGGAAATCAAATTCAATTCACACTGCAGAAAAGTTGATACCCATTCAGTTAATTCTACCTAGGGACAGATTGTATTGGATGATCACTCAACCTTTATCATCAGTATATATATACATACATTAAGAACTTTCTGGAAGCTTCTTAGCACAACTTTTCACCTTTTACGTCAGTTGCATTATTTTGTAACTGTATTTCGGGGGTTTATAAGAAGAGACAATGTCTAGATAATTGCTCTGAAGTGCAGAACAGTATGCACAGCATCACAAGTTTTTCATTCAAAGCTGAAAAATAAACTGGTTTTACACAGTTCAACCAGATGTCATCTTCTCTACAAAATCATTCATGTAATAGATTTGCTTTCACCTTTTCTCAGAGGAGCCTGACTAGGCAGAATGGAAGGGAAAAAAATGGTTCTGTTACATCCTTCATTAAATGAAGACAAAGAATACCCACCTATATAAATACATTATCAGAATATTTATTATCCAGTATGTTGAATCCAAGGCTTCTGCCACTGATCACGCTTGAAAGGAACTAAAAGAGAAGGAGTGACTGTTCTAGGCATCCTTCTGTTCAGCAACAGAGGGATAACACAGACAGGAGCAAGCCATCTACTTAAAAGCAAGATCCCCAGTTCCCATAGCATTAGGCTAGCATCTTTGAGGACCCTCCCGCACTAGACAAGTTGCCAGTGCTGTCAGGTTTTTAACCCTACAAGGGAAAAGCCCTAGTAAGAGCCTGCACTGGCCGTTTACTACTTGGTGGCTTCCTCTCACACTGCCACCCCTGAGCCTTGCTGCATTTTGGGTGGGATAGTCCCAGCCCAGCTGGGAAAGTCCGAGGTTAAGGATATAATTCTCTGAAGGGAGGAGGTGCACAGGAAATCTTTCATGGTTAGCCTGTGAGATCTCACCCCAAGCTCTTAACCAGGGGGCAGCTCTCACCCTACAAAGAGGGATGTGCGTAGGGTAGACGGCAGTGCCAGAGAGACATCACAGTACAGCAGCAGCCACCAAACTGTGGGGCCAGGACTGGGGACACAGGCTCACAGGCTGTGAAGCATGACGCACACAAGGCAAATAACATGATTATTTTTTCCCTTTTTGCAGATCTTGGGGATATGGTAGCCAGGTAAGGGGGGGGGGGGGGGTGTGTGTGTGTAAATAAATGAAGCAGGTTCTCAGTGGGTCTGTAAGCGATAGCAGTCTTGCTACCAACAAAAGAAATAGCAAACTCCCAGCCACAGCAGATTTCACTTCCTCTCCCCTCCCCCCCTAACGCCCCAGGGTGGCCATAACATCCCTCCTGCCTTTTCTCACCATCAGCTTTAACCCTTTTGTTCCTCTCTTTTCCTAGCGCTCTACAGCAAGATGTAATCACAGCTACAGGCCCCTTCCTATCAACTGAAAGGGGACTACGTCCTGTATAATAGTTCCTTGCTTTCCCTATAATTCTTCAAATACTTCCAAATGCAGTGGTAAAACGCTGGAAGGCCTTAATGACACCACCAGTTTTTATATTTAGTATTCTGCAGATGAATTAAACCAACTAATTTATCTTCGAAGTGCACTGAATTACAATGAGAGCATGCTGGTTACCAGCTAGTAGGATGGTAACTGCCAGCTGTGGAGCAAGAATTTCTGAAGCATCTCCAGCTCCACTGCTGGCTTTTGTCTAATATCTAGAATGCAAAGTTGGATTTTCTAGTAATAATTACTGGTGACAGAAAATACTGACAAACACTCAACCATTATGCTTCAGTTACTTCTCATTTCTTTATGAAGTTGCCCTAAAGCAAGTGTTGGCATCAACACAGAGAGGACCAAAGCTGGATATAGTTTAATATTCTCTTTCATGATCTTTAAAAAAGGATACACAGCTTGTATGTGAATTTTAAGTGTGGACCACCTACAGAAACAGGCCCTAGGGGCTCCATCGCATTGCTCTTCATTTCAAAGTTTCCACTCAGTTCAGTGAAGTCAACAGCAAATTTTTTGGGCATATGCCATAGGGCCAACCCTGTTCTCCATGAAGTCATTATGTTTTGCACATTTAACACATATTTAAAGCAAGTAGCTAACTGCCTTTGTTAACAACATTGAGATGAAATTGAGTTAATCCCTCAGCACTACGAAAGGCATACCACAATTACTTTCTAATTGATGGAGGCAAATTTTAATAGCTCCATAGCTTTTAAATCTGAAATATGCTGTTAAATGCAATAGGGAAAATTACTCTCTGGTTTAGTGCCAACACTGCCAAGGGAGCTATGCCAAGCATAAATTTTCCCTTTGTGTTTAATAGCATGGTAGATTTAAAACAGCATCCGTTAAAACACCAATGTTATCCTGAAGATACATTTGAGCCACTGGGTCAATGTCTCCTCAAAATCACTCAAGTCTGTATCCAGTTGCTATGCAATTACACAAAGCATGGCAGTATTCCCAGTGCTGTGTTACAGAGCTAACAACATTTTCATGTTAGAATAGTTAGAGTTGGAAAGGACCTAAAGATCACCTAGTTACAACCCCCTACCATGGGCAGGGACACCTCACACTAAACCATGTCACCCAAGGCTCTGTCCAACCTGACCTTGAACACTGTCAGGGACGGAGCATGCACAACTTCCCTGGGCAACCCATTCCAGTGCCTCACCACCCTCACAGGAAAGAACTTCTTCCTTATACCCAATCTAAACTTCTCCTGTTGAAGTTTTAACCTGTTACCCCTTGTCCTGTCACTACAGTCCCTCATGAAGAGTCACTCCCCAGCATTCCTACAGGCCCCTTTCAGACACTGGAAGGCTGCTATGAGGTCTCCACGCAGCCTTCTCTTCTCCAGGCTGAACAGCCCCAACTTTCTCAGCCTGTCTTCACACAGGAGGTGCTCCAGGCCCCTGATCATCCTCATGGCCCTCCTCTGAACTTGTTCCAACAGATCCATCTCCTTTTGATGTTGAGGACACCAGAACTGTACACAATACTCCAAGTGAGGTCTCACAAGAGCAGAATAAAGGGGCAGGATCACCTCCTTCGACCTGCTGGTCACACTCCTTTTGATGCAGCCCAGGATATGGTTAGCTTTGTGGGCTGAGAGCTCACACTGAGGCCGGCTCATGCTCATGTTCTCATCGACCAGCACCCCCAAGTCCTTCTCCACAGGGCTGCTCTGAATCTCTTCTCTGCCCAGCCTGTAGCTGTGCCTGCGATTGCTCTGACCCAGGTGTAGGATCTTGCACTTGTCATGGTTAAACGTCATGAGGTTGGCATCAGCCCACCTCACAAGCAAGTCAAGGTCCCTCTGGATGGCATTCCTTCCCTCCAGCGTATCAACCGAACCACACAGCTTGGTGTCATCAGCAAACTTGCTGAGGGTGCACTCAATCCCACTGTGCATGTCACCAATAAAGATGCTGAACAAGACCTGTCTCAACACTGATCCCTGAGGGACACCACTCATTACTGGTCTCCAGCTGGACATTGAACCACTGGTCACAACTCTTTGCGTGCGGCCATCCAGCCAGTTCTTTATCCACCGAGTGGTCTGTCCATCAAATTGATGTCTCTCCAATTTAGAGACAAGGATATCATGTGGGACAGTGTCAAATGCTTTGCATAAGTCCAGGTAGATGACATCAACTGCTCTACCCCTGTCCATCACTTCTGTAGCCCCATCATAGAAGGCCACCAAATTGTTCAAGCAGGATTTTCCCTTAGTGAACCCATACTGGCTGTCATCAAGCACCTCATTGGTTTTCATATGCCTTAGCATGCCTTCCAGGAGAATCTCCTCCAAGATTTTGCCAGGCACAGAGGTGAGACTGACTGGTCTGTAATTCCCCGGTCATCCATTTTCCCCCTTCTTGAAAATGGGGGCTATATTTCCCTTTTTCCAGTCTTTGGGAACTTCACCTGACTGCCACGATTTTTCAAATATGATGGACAGTGGCTTAGCAACTTCATTTGCCAGCTGCTTCAGGACCCACGGACGGATTTCATCAGGTCCCATGGCCTTCTGTGTGTTCAGGTTCTTAAGATGGTTTTGAACCAGATCCTCTCCTATATGTAACTACTTTATCTGAACTGGCAAGAAGACAGTATTTCACATTTCTTCCTTCAACGATATTGAAATTACACATTTTTTTTTTCGTTACTGTAAGGCCTGTATGAGAAAAGAGTATAGAGTATTACACTAGATTAAAGTTTGTTTTAAAACCTCGTTAATGTGCCATTGTATCACTAAGAAACACTATTAATATGAAGACCTGGTGATAAGTAATTCTGCCTTTATTTCTATAAAAGATTTCAATGCTATAATAACCACTGCATATCCTTTAGCTTTACAAAAGGAATCACAGTTGGATAACAATGCTCCCTTATATTAGTACTTACTTCCAATCTAACTTATACAAAGAGGATGTATCCTTAGCAGGATAGTCTCCCAGCATGTGGTGGACCACTGAGTGTGTAACACTTACTAGCACTTTTATACGTTGTCACCTGCACTTCCACTAGAGCTTTCCCAAATCTGAACATTCAGCTCGTGTTCGGTCTTCAAACTGCATTAGACATGAATTTTCAACATCTTTTAGCATCAAGATGCTCCAATCAATATCTCTTGGTTTTCTTTGATGCCTTTGTCAGACCTTCTCTGCTATTCTGCTACAGGTGTGAGACCTTGTGTATAGTTTAGGGTATCCTCCTGCATCTCACAGCTTCTTCAAAACAATCTACCTCTTTTATGCAGATCATTCATCCTTCAGCTAAAAGGACCATCTGCCACAAAAATGGGTTCATCTCCTCCCTAAACTCCCTAAACTACATGAGCTTGACTGACTTTTAAAATGTATTTCTAGCCACTTAGCAAGCCAGAGATCTTTGAGGTATTTTTGCTAGGCTGGAGCACTCTCCATGTATTGGCTTGACAGTCTTCAATAATGGTTTCAAAGAACTTGTGCAACACAAATTCCAGAGCAGCTCCA